TGGGAGGGGGTGGGCTAGCTCAGTCTCCCTGGGAGGGGGTGGGCTAGCTCAGTCCTGTGGGAGGGGGTGGGCTAGCTCAGTCTCCCTGGGAGGGGGTGGGCTAGCTCAGTCTCCCTGGGAGGGGGTGGGCTAGCTCAGTCTCCCTGGGAGGGGATGGGCTAGCAAGTCTCCCTGGAGGGGGTGGGCTAGCTCAGTCCCTCTGGGAGGGGATGGGCTAGCAAGTCTCCCTGGAGGGGGTGGGCTAGCTCAGTCTCCCTGGGAGGGGGTGGGCTAGCTCAGTCTCCCTGGGAGGGGGTGGGCTAGCACAGTCCTGTGGGAGGGGGTGGGCTAGCTCAGTCTCCCTGGGAGGGGGTGGGCTAGCTCAGTCTCCCTGGGAGGGGGTGGGCTAGCTCAGTCTTCCTGGGAGGGTGGGCTAGCTCAGTCTCCCTGGGAGGGTGGGCTAGCTCAGTCTTCCTGGGAGGGTGGGCTAGCTCAGTCTTCCTGGGAGGGTGGGCTAGCTCAGTCTCCCTGGGAGGGGGTGGGCTAGCTCAGTCTCCCTGGGAGGGGGTGGGCTAGCTCAGTCTCCCTGGGAGGGGTGGGCACACAGCGAGCAGTGCTCAGGGACCCGCATCAGGAGGAGGGCGGGTCTGGGTTCCCGAAGGACTGAATACCAAAAGGCAGAGACAGTGCCCTGTTCACGGCTGCGCTGTGGTGCCCATGCTGTGCTCTTCCCTCCCCGCGGCTGCCAGAGCTGAGCTGGAGCACAGCCTCGCCAGCCGCTGGGACAGCTGAGCTCTTGGTGTAGCACAAGCGGCCGCAGCCTTGGTAATGGTCGCCCGCACCGAGCAGCACCCCTCAGCGTGCTCACCAGATCGGGTCCAGGCGTTTCAGAGCACCCTCCACCCCAAGCTGCCTGGAGAAGGGGAGGCGGGCCTGGCACGGCGGAGGGTTGCAGTTCCTTGAGCGCTTGCCGACCGAGGCTGGGGCCCGGGCAGCAGCAAGGCTGGGGGAGCCCTGTGGCTCATGTCCCACGGGGCTCGGCCTTCGCCAGGCCGGCCTGTGCCTGGCCCGTCAGAGGCCGACGGCGCTGGGGCACCCGGGACTCCACCTGGCTCTGAGCTATTTATGGGCACCAGAAACGCAGCAGAGCCTGACCTCGGTTGTCCCGTGGGTCAAGGAGGTGATTATTCACAACAGCTAAGTGACGTCGCGGTGGAGCTGGACCTTAGGTCATTGGTCTATATATAATGGGAGTAACCTAAGAGTCACATCACCCCGTTCTGAGCACAGTGGAGGAGGGCAGCGGTGGCTTTGGCCCTGTCTGATTCTTGGTTTGAGCGTCCCTCTGTTTGCTGTGCTGGTTCTTGGCCTCTTCCTCGTGAGCCAAATGTGGGAAGACCAATGTTTGGGGTCTCCTGGGAAATCTTGGTGTTTTCTTCGTAACAGACGCGTCGGGTCATGGCTTTTGAGCGAGCCATACCTCTGAGGACACGTTGATCCAAGCCCAGCCCTCTCGGACTCAGCCCGCAGCCGCTGCCCGGCCACACCAGGCCCGTGTTATTTATATTCAGACAGACGCTGTGCTGAAAGACGGACACCGGTGGCCAGCCCTGCGGGGTGCTGGTCGCAGACAGGCTGTGGCTGGAGACAAGACCCGCGTGTCCAGCAGGCCAGCTCTCGGCCTGCAGTGGGCAGTTCCTGCCGAATGAGACAGAGGAGCATCTGAAGTGTGCACGCCTGCGGTCATTCACACCCAGCACTGCATGGGGCCACCATCCCCCCTCTGTGGCCGGGGCTGCAGGTGTCCTGAGATAGAACAGCCCTGTGGCACAGCGGTCATCAAGGCCCAGGGCCGGCGAAAGTTCCATCCCAAGAGCCAGTGCTGGGCCCGGGGACTCTCAGTGTGAAAACTGGGTCTGCAGCTGGAGTGGCACCGTGTGTGTGCGTGTGTGCGTGTGTGCGTGTGTGTGTGTGTGTGTGTGTGTGTGTGTGGTAGAACGTCAGGGACCCGCCTTGTCTTCCGGGCAGCAGCTGAACTGGGGAAGAGCCAGGTTCCTAGGGCTCAGCACGACCCTCTTCACTTCCTAATTTGATCCGCCCCCCCCCCCCTGCATGTGGAGTTTCTGCTCTGGAGAGCGGCCGGTGATTTATGATGCAGGCATGGGTGTGGGAGAGGCAGTCCCATTTCTAAATATAGCATCTCCTCGGGCCATAAATGGGAAGAGAGGACGGGCCCTTTGGAGGAAGAAATTAGCTGTGCCGTGCTCAGTGAGAGCTAGGAGCTGGCGACCTGGACGGAGCTAACGGCCCTCCCGCACACCCTGTGTGGTGAGTGTCTTCCTCCCCTGCCTCTGTGGCTTTGCTGGGAAAGGTGTGCAAAGCTGGTGGCACTGTGCTGTGGGCGGGCTCAGGGTGAAGCGTCCCACCTGCTCGCTGTGGGTGCACGCGGCTGCAGGCAGGGGGGATGACTCCACCGGGTGCCCTGGGCTCCGGGCTCACTCACTGTGCCCATGTCACCCCCCCGTCCCCTCGCAGGGCCTCGGGTGCCCTGGGCTCTGTGCTCACTCACTGCGCCCGTGTCACCCCCCCCCCGTCCCCTCGCAGGGCCTCGGGTGCCCTGGGCTCCGGGCTCACTCACTGCGCCCGTGTCACCCCCCCCATCCCCTCGCAGGGCCTCGGGTGCCCTGGATGCATGCCACGGCGGTCACAGCGGTCGGAGGATGGATGCCGGTGCGGGCTCTGGGGCGTCAGAAATGCAGGGGAGGAGAAGGAAGACTGGAAGAGGGGAAACACCAAAACGAGAGTGTTTTTTAGAGGAGGAAAGAGAAAGAAAGCAGAGCCATTTAGCCTAGACCTGGGTGATGGGGAAGAAAGAATTTCTCGGGGCAGGAGTCTCTCGCGTTGGCTGGAAAGCAGTGTCCTCCGAATGCATTGGGAGGAGGGGGGTCGTGTGGCGGAGCTGGCGGTCCCCACAGGGCGTCCTGGGGAGCGGGGGCTGCCAGGAGGCGAGCGGGGGCTGACGGCCACGCTGTAGGGCCAGGCTGTTTGCTGAGGGTCAGCAGCGAGGGGGTTAGACTCACCTGCCCTTCCCTTCCTCCTGCCCCATGTGCTTTTGTTACCAGCAGGAGGAAAACGGGGGTCACAGAGCACATGGAGAGAAGACCCCTTCAAGGAGTTGCTTACTGAACTGCTAAGACCAAGTCTCAGGAGCCGGGGCATCATGAGATGCCGGGGGCAGGCCGAGCCCATGTGGGGCATCTCTGCCTGTGGCTCAGTGGGCGCTGGGGTCTGGCATTTCTGGCTGTATTAATGACAGGTCTGAGCGAAATCTGGGGTAAGCTACAAAATGCCCTGGCAGGTTGCTAGAATATTCCCAACCCATGGGTTGGGAACATGAGTGCCTGTTCTCCGTAAGACAGTGGGGTGATTTAAGACAGTACAGCGACCAGGCTCTGGACTGGTGAAGTTCAGAGGCTCTGGCTGGAGCTACGGTGACCAGGCTCTGCATTGGTGAAGCTCAGAGGCTCTGGCTGGAGTTACGGTGACCAGGCTCTGGACTGGTGAAGTTCAGAGGCTCTGGCTGGAGCTACGGTGACCAGGCTCTGCATTGGTGAAGCTCAGAGGCTCTGGCTGGCTGGAGGGTTTGTCCCAGCGGGGTGCTGGCTGTGATCATTTTTCCTTCTGACACCAGCCGAGCTTTAGGTAAGGTGAGCCAGGCGCCGTGGCCTCTCAGGCGACCGTGGAAAAGCACAGGAGGTTTGGCTTCCAGAAACCAGGCATCCAGGGTGCTGGGTTCACCACTGAAGCTCTGTGGAAGCTGGTTTTGTGTTCAGTCGTTACATTTGGTGCACAGTGGCTTCTTCTGAGGGAAGCCTGCAGGCAAATAGTTCCCAGAGCAAAGGAGCCAGGAGGGCTCTGCGTCTGTGCAGACCCAGGCTTTGCCGCCTGCATGGCAGGCGTGAAGATCTTCCGCTCGCCTCTCCCCCACACCGTGCGCCTGCCGAGACGCGGACGTTTGTGCCAGCATCAGCAATTGCACTAAGTCGAGTACATGCGTGTGCGTTCATCATGGAGGGTTCCTCTGTCGTGTTTTCATAATGCAGGTGTCCTGTGATCAGTGTGGCCCCCGGGCTTTTCCTTTTCCCCACGGCCCCCACGTCTGACAGTGGGTGGACTTCACTGTGTCTGCCTCACAGACCCTCTGAACTTGAAATGTCTGTGGGAAGCGAGGCGGTGCTGGGGAGGGGAGGAGTTCCCAGCATGCTTTGCAGCCCCTCGGCCTGGCTCGAGTTTCTGCTGGCGTCAGATTCCCCAAGTGTGTTGGAGCCCTGGGGCCTGGCCGCAGAGCCGGGAGGTGCAGCGCCATCAGGAACAGTTGGCCCGGGCTCTGCCCAGGCCTGCGACTTACAGACCGGTCCACGCTGAGCAGAAAGAACGTGCTTCTGGAAGGTTCCAGGGCCTCAGCTGGGGCAGAAGTCCAATCTTGGTCAAGAGGTCTGACTCATGAGGGGCTGTGGAGTGATGGGTGGTGGCCGACCGCGGGGGTGCGTGTGGCTTGCTGATCTGTGGCGGGCTGTCCTGTCATTGCCAGGGGGAGCAGGGGTCGGGCTTCTCACTGCCCTGAGCCAGGGGCCCCGCGGTTCCTGGGCTTGTCTGGCCGGCCCGTTTGGTGCTCCACACCACTGGGTTGGGATGGTCAGGGGCGCGGTGTGCTGGTGGTGACCGGCAGAGAGCCTCTGCAGCCGGGGGGGGGGTGACGGCCTCTCTGGGTTTCATGGGGAGCAGAGCGAGGTGTGCGTTGCGTGTGGGGCTCCACCGCTGTGGGGGAGCCTGCCCGTCAGCGGGGACCAGGACACATGTGCACTGCAGATGCTGCGTCTCTGATCACAGGGCTGGTGTGCGCTCCTGAGCTGTGGCATTTGCAGGCAGCCCCCAGCAGCGTGTCAGGAGGCCAGGGATGCCCGAGGGGCATTTTGTGGGTGGCTTGGGGAAGCACATTCCAGACACATCTGCGGCCCAACAAAAATCACAGATGTAACACAGGAACCGCAGCACTGACGGCGTGTCCCGTGTGAGCACCGGCACTGACGGCGCATCACGCGTGAGCACCGGCACTGGTGGTGTGTCACACGTGAGCACCGACACTGGTGGTGTGTCACACGTGAGCACCGACACTGACGGCATGTCACACGTGAGCACCAACACTGACGGCGCATCCCATGTGAGCACCGGCACTGGTGGCGCATCACGTGTGAGCACCGGCACTGGTGGTGTGTCACACGTGAGCACCAGCACTGGCAGCACATCACGTGTGAGCACCGGCAATGGCGGCGCATCCCGTGTGAGCACCGGCACTGACAGCGTGTCATGCATGAGCACCGGCACTGACGGCGTGTCACGCGTGAGCACCGGCACTGACGGTGTGTCACGCGTGAGCACCGGCACTGACGGCGTGTCACACGTGAGCACCGGCACTGACGGCATGTCACACGTGAGCACCAGCACTGACGGCGTGTCACACGTGAGCACCGACACTGACGGCGTGTCCCGTGTGAGCACCGACACTGACGGCGTGTCACACGTGAGCACCAGCACTGGCAGCGCATCCCGTGTGAGCACCGGCACTGACGGCGTGTCATGCGTGAGCACCGGCACTGACGGCGTGTCATGCGTGAGCACCGGCACTGACGGCGAGGTGCTGCTGTGAGCCTCTGCCCCCCTCACCTGCAGCAGGCCCGCGGGGAAGTGTCTGCCTGGTGAAACACCTCCTGGGTGCTAGACTGCCTTACTGCTCAGCACGCACACATATGACACACATGACACACACGACACGTGACACCCCATGATGCACCACACATGGCACAGCATACATGACACACGATAACCCCACAACACACATGACACATGGCACAGGGCATACCACGAGACACGTGACACACACGACACCCCACAGCATACACCACAACACACGGCACATGACACAACATACAACACACCACAGCACACACCACGCCACAACACACGACACAACATACAACACACCACAGCACACACCACGCCACAACACACGACACATGACACAACACACAACACACCACAGCACACACCACGCCACAACACACGACACACGACACAACACACAACACACCACAGCACACACCACGCCACAACATACAACACACCACAGCACACACCATGCCACAACACATGGCACATGACACAACATACAACACACCACAGCACACACCACGCCACAACACACAACACACGCCACAACATACAACACACCACAGCACACATCACACCACAAGACATGACACACGACACAACATACAACACACCACAGCACACACCACAACACATGGCACATGACACAACATACAACACACCACAGCACACACCACGCCACAACACACGGCACATGACAACACATGACACATGACAACACGCATGACAGATGACACAGCACAGGACATGTCACACAACATATGGCATGGCATGATACACATGACACTGAACACATGCCATGACACAACACTGCATGGCACACGATACATACGACACAACACAACACACGTGGCATGACACGACACATGGCACGCTGCATGACACTTCACAACACACATGCCACATGCCACCTACAACACATGGCACTGCACATGATGTACTGCATGGCACATGACACGGATGACACTCCACAACACGCATGACCCGGGTGACACACATGACAGAGGCGGCGGCGGAGCTGTGGCCTGTGGGGCCTCCGCGCCCCTCGTGGGGTCAGGCACCTCCCTCTGCCGAGGGGCGTTCAGAGGCGCGGTGCCGGTGTGGAGACGCGGGCTGTGCGCTCTCTGGGCCGGGAGGTCCCAGACGCCTGGGCCACGCAGCACTGACCCCGAGTGCGGCCGGGCTGCGACCCTGCCCCGCTCGCATCCGATGCCCCCCGGCACTGACCCCGAGTGCGGCCGGGCTGCGACCCCGCCCCGCTCGCGCCCGATGCCCCCCGGCACTGACCCCGAGTGCGGCCGGGCTGCGACCCCGCCCCGCTCGCGCCCGATGCCCCCCTGGCACTGACCCCGAGTTCGGCTGGGTGCGACCCCGCCCCGCTCGCGCCCGATGCCCCCCGCGGGTGCGGGTGGAGGTGGCGTGTGTGCCTTCGGCTGCGTCCTGACCCTCTGTCTCCGTGGTGCTGGGACTTCGGGGCCTCCCGGCGCTGGGCGGCTGGGGCCCCAGGTGGATTAGGAGGCGACAGAAGCGCGCTAAGCTTTGGGCGGCCCTGTGTGGGGCGGCCTGTGTCTGACTTACCAGCAGGCTGGGGTTTGGTTAATCCCCAACTTTCCAGCTCTGTGACTCTATTTAGAAACCACGGACTGAACAAGGTCATGAGGCCTGTCCTGCTTGACAGGTACAACTTGGCAGGGTTCCTTCCTGTCCTGTCAGTGCTTGGGTTTGAACTCGGGGCTCTGCCCCTGGTGCCCCCCACAGCACCTGCCCTTCACCGTCTGTGCTTTTTGCCTGGATCAGCCCGTGATCCTCCGTAGCTGGAATTGCAGGCCTGAGCCACCACAGCCATCTGTGGTTCGGTAGGTTGTTGAACAGTCCAGTTGTGTGAACAAGGACTGCAAGGGAAGTGAGCAAGGCCTGGACTCCCTCCCCTCCTCCCTCCCCCGACCCTCTCCCCCGTCCTTCCTGGGTGCTGTGCCCAGGCTGCGCCCGGGCCTTGGCCTAAGACTTCTCTGGATCTGGACAATTTGAACACTAAAGACAGGCGGGCTCAGGTTTGGAGGCTCCTTTGGGTCTTACCCAGGAGGCTGCCTCCAGGAAGCAGTAGCGGTGACAGATGGGGAGGGAGCTGGGCTGGTGTACTGGTGCTGGGCAGCAGGGGCTGCGTGATATACACATGCTACCGGTTTCCAGGACAAGGAGGGCCGCCCGCACTTTCTTAATCTTTTTTTTTTTTTTTTTTGGTCGGCCGTGGGGCCTGAACTCTGGGCCTGGGCGCTGTCCCTCAGCTCTTCAGCTCAAGGCGAGCACTCTACCACTTGAGCCACAGCGCCACTTCCTGCCCGCACTTTCTTGTCTAGGGAGAATTTCACCAGACCGCGTATTTCCCCGTATCCCTAAGGCTGCGTGTGTGGCGTGACGCCGCGCTCCTGCCCGTCGCTCCACCGGGGCCCAGGGCCCGGGGACGATGAGCTGATGGCTTCACCGGCCCTGGAGCAGACCCATGGCCCTGTGTGGCTGCAGCCCTGGGAGGGTGTGTGTGTGTGTGAGGCCCACCGTCCCGCCCCACCTTCCACACCACCTCCTCATTGGCCTCTCAAATGTCCTGCGGTCTGGGCTGCTCTGGATGCCCTCTCCCCTAATCTCCAGGGCCTTCTCTGTCTTGCATTGCCTGTGGCTCTTATCAGTCCCTTGCTTGCATTTCAGCTCTCCCCTGACTTCCCAAATCTGTGCTGTGATGATTTTTACCCCCCCTGTCACCTTGTTTTCCCATAGCCACGGACCCACTGGAAGGCACATTCTGTAAATACCAGTGAGCTCACTACTAAATGGAGCACATAGCCCAATTTTCTGAATTTTATGGAAGCAACCAAAAGAGGAAATTGGGTCCAGGCAAACTGGCAGGCTTCCCAATTCCCCGCTGGAATGATCTGCATGAATGGAATTTCTCTCCTTCCTCTTCCCTGGTTCATGAGGTCATTAGCTAATCAGTGTGGTTTTCTGTGCAACAGACAGTGCAGGTGTGCAGGCAGAGTGTGCTGAGCCTGGCTGGCAAGGGCGCTCACACCTCTCTCTCTTTAGGAGGGTGTTCACACCTCTCTCATTAGAACAAGGGTGCTTATATTTCTCCCTCTTTTTAGAACGAGGGGCCTCACACCTCTCTCTCTTTAGGAGGAGGGCACTCACACCTCTCTCTCTCCTTAGAACGAACGCCGCTGCGATGTCTCTGGTGGCGCTACCCTTCTACCAGAAGAGACACAAGCACTTCGACCAGTCGTACCGCAGCATTCAGACGCGATACCTCCTGAATGAGTACGCCTCCAGGAAGTAAGTGGTGTGCTCAGACGCGATACCTCCTGAATGGGTACGCCTCCAGGAAGTAAGTGGTGTGCTCAGGTCCTCAGCGGCCTGCCTCAGGCCCCGTCTCAGCAGCGGTCCGCCTGGCCGCAGGGGCCCTGGCTTGTGTGGAGCTGGGAGCCGGCCGGCCTGCCGCGTGGCCTGCCCGCTACAGGGTCCCGGGGGCCTGGCTCCGGCAGCAGAAGTGGAGGAGGACATCCCTGAGTTTTCTTACACACGGCAATGAGCACAACAGTGCTGGGATCAGGGCAGCAACGCAGAGACGGGAATCAGCGCCGTGATCGCGATAGCGTGTCCGAGACATGGCTGTGGCACGTGGACATGTCACCTTGAGACGCAGCTGTGTCAGCCCCTGCTGGTGCTCCCGGCAGACGTCCCCGCTGGCAGGGCAGGGCTGCATTCCGGCTCACACATCGGCCACTTTTGTGGCTGATTAGATGGCCGTGAGAGGAAGGGGGCGGCCTCTGGCCTCTGTCCTCCGCCCGGGTGCCTGCCCCATGTCGCCAGCACCTTATATTTAGACATGCCCTGGCACGCATGTCAGTGCCGGCCCTTACAACAAGCACCGCCAAGCATTCGCAGCCCGTCCCCGTGGCTCGGGGTGGAGATTCCTTGGTTTATATATAATCGTGGCTTTGAGCCAGGGAGGATGCTGTCAAGCCTGCGGGAAGGAGGCCGGAGCCCTCCAGAGAGTGCAGGGGACAGAAGGGGACACATGCGGGGAGAGCGGGCGTGGCACACAGGGACACGGGTCTGTGTGTGCAAGTGTGCGGAGCGTGTCCAGACGTGTGTGCCTGTGGGCATGCGTGTACATACGTGGGTATCTGTGTGTGGTGGCCCAGGCACTGGCGCGTCTGTCCGTGTGCACGCGCAGGCGAGTGCCTGAGTTCACGTGTGTCACGGTGCTGGGGTGCACCGAGGCCTTTTCTGATCCATCTAATTACGTCCACGCTTCCAGGCGTGCGTCATCCCAGACGTCCGCCCAGAGCTCCCTCCAGCAGCGGTCATCGGCACAGAGCACGTCCAGCCGGTCCTCTGCCCGGGGGGCCACCTGCCAGCTCTGTGCGAAGCGGGCGAGCGCGTCCGAAGAGGAGGAACGGGAGCATGAGCACAGGTGACCGCAGTCGACGCAGCCGGGCTGCGGGCTGGGGAGGGGGTGCGGAGGCCGGAGCCGGGCTGCGGGCTGGGGAGGGGGCACGGAGGCCGGAGCTGGGCCGCGGGCTGGGGAGGGGGCGCGGAGGCCCGGTGGAGAGGGGGCACGGAGGCTGGAGCTGGGCTGTGGGCTGGGGAGGGGGTGTGGAGGCTGGAGCTGGGCTGTGGGCTGGGGAGGGGGTGTGGAGGCTGGAGCTGGGCTGTGGGCTGGGGAGGGGGTGCGGAGGCCGGAGCCGGGCGTGCTGGGAGGAGAGCGGCGAGCATGCACAGGGTTGCCACTGTCTGTGCCAGCCGGGCCCGGGCAGTCCCCATGGGGAAGTGGAGGGGTGGTTTTCTGCCCTTGGGCAGCCTCGGGAGCCCGGGCAGGGAGTCTGCTCAGCCTCTCGCTGGGGAGAACAGTGCCCATGGGTTGTGGATAGGAGCAAGGTCAAGGACCCGAGAGGCAGCCAGGACTCAGCAGCCGCATAGTGGAACAGGGCCGCCATGCCTTACATGTGCTGGGGTCGGGTGATGAGAGATGGATTAGCAGTGGCGTCAGGCCCCAAATTATCCCCAGGTGGCGAAGCACGGGCTGCTGGAGACGCTTCGGCCTTTTCAGAGCAAAATAACCAGCTCCGTGTCTTACAGCTAACGCACCCCCACCGACCTCAGCCTGTCTCTATAAAGTACACCTGAAGCCAGAGTGAGATTGAGTCACCACGCTTCAAGGAGACGCACCCGAGCCCCAGTCCCAGCCAGGCCCAGTGGCTCTGCACGTGCTCCCGCAGCTCCCGCAGCTCCCCCGGCCGTGCTCCCCCGGTCGTGCTCCCCCGGC